AAAAAAAAAAAAAAAAAAAAAAAAAAAAAAAAACGGGGCTGGTTGCATCCGTGCATGCAGACGGTTGTGCATGCATGCATGCATGCATGCATGCATGCATGCATGCAGCCCCAAATAATTGTCTTTGTTATGGCCAGCCCCAATATGTTTGTTTCTTAAGGGAATAAACAGTGTGTCTTTTCTCCGGTGTACATACACCGCAAACTTTTATATAAAATAAATATTTATTTGTCTTAATAAAGACACAATAAAATAAATAAGGAAATGCATATACACTGCATATATGCATGCATGCATGCATGCATGCATGCAATAATATAATTATTTGCATGCGTATAGATCTCCTTATACACATATAATATTATAATTAGGGTTTAGGGTTTGGGGTTTTAGGCAGCTACAGCGGAAACGGCGGGAGCCACACAGCCAACTCCTGCTGCATGCATGCAACAGCAGCAGCAGCAGTATAAATAGACTGCTGCATGCAGCAGCAGCAGCAGCAACAGCAGCAGCAGAAATAGAGGAGAGTAGCAGCAACATCAAGAAGAAAGCAACCAGTGTCTTGTTGATTGTGTATAGATAAAGATTTCCTTAGCTCCTCTAAACCCTCAAACCCTAAACCCTAAACCCTAAACCCTCAAACCCTAAACCCTAAACCCTAAACCCTAAAAGTCTTAGACAAAAAAGAATTATTTGTTATTTTGTTGCTTCTCCTTCTTATTCCTTGCATAAGAAGAAGGGTTTGTATATTATTTAATGCATGCAGCAAGAAGGAGAAAAAGGGTTTATTAATAAATAAATAATTATAAATAAACCCTTTTTCTTCTCTTATTAATAAATAAGGACATAAACCCCACAGCAGCCCCTGTACTGTTGCTGTTAGGCAACGGTTAGCTCGTATGCATGCAGACGGTGCAGCAGCAGCACCACCAGCATCTGCTGCTGCAGTTGCTGCTGCTGCTGCTGCTGCAGCAGGAGAACCAGCAGCAGCAGCAGCAGCAGCAGCAGCAGCAGCAGCAGGTGAATAAACAGGCTTATAGTGAGCAAGACCAAAGAGCAGCGCGGATATAACAGCAACACGTCTGCTGTACATACACCTGAATAAAGAGGAAGAAAAAAATAATTCTTTTTTTTCTTCTTTTTTTTCTTCTTCTTTTTCTTCTTCTTTTTCCTTATTAAGGGGTCCCTCTTTATTTTTATTTCTTCCTATAAAAGGGGTTGCTGCTGCATGCAGCAGCTGCTGTGTTGCTGCCAGCAGCAGCGGCAGCAGCAAACGGAATTGAATCTCCTCTAGCAGCGGGCCTAGCAGCAGCTGCTGCAGCAGCTGCTGCTGCTGCTGCTTAAGACGGCGTGGGGTTAACCATGATAGGATTGTTGCATGCGCATGCGCATTAAGTGCAGCAGCAGCAGCAAGCTGCTGCGGCAGGTGTACGTACACCCCATGTCTTGATATAAATGCATTAGCAGCAACAGCAGCAGCTACAGCACAGCTGCTGCAGATATGCAGCAGCAGCAAACGCAGCAGCAAAGAAGAAAAAGAATTATTCTTCCTTAAGGAAGGAAAAGGAAGAAAATAATCATAAGAGGAAGAAGAAGAGGAGGAAGAGGAACAGGAGGAGGAAGACGATAAAGGAGGAGGAGGGAAGGGCCCCACACTTAGTATACAAGGAGCAGGTAATGCCCTCCATATGCTT